ACTTTAATACAAAGGGCTTTGTACTTAGGTGCATCACATCACTTCTTCCCAGGTTTTTCATTTTTAAAAGGAAATGTTGGACTACATGGTGTATAGTGGGAAAATAACTGGATTTAGAGTCAGGAGACCAGGCTTAGAAACCTAAGTCTCCTACTAACCTTGAGAAAAATCACGTCACTCCCCCACACCTTGTTCTCTCTCATCTATGAACTAAGGGGGTTGGAGCAGATGATCTCTGTGGTCCCTTTCAGCTTTGAGATTCACAGTTGTTGTATCCTAAGTGTGAGAGGGGCAGAAGGAAGGTTCTTATTACCTGTTTTACTTTGGCTAAGTCACCTAACCTCCCTGAGCACTAGGCTAGTCATCTGTAAAATGAGGGGGTTGGACAGCATTGTTGCTGAGATCTTTTCTTGCTCCAAAGCTTTGATTTATGAGCCTTTGAGGAGGAGGCTACCCACGTGATTGATTGCTTCAAACTCAATTCACTTGTGTGCTGTCTGGTTTGCCCCCCCCCCTCACCACTGCCTCTCTCTATGCCCTACCCCCCAGCCTCCATAAAGCCTTTGGCTCACCCCTCTCTCTGGTAGTTTACGCATTAGCCCACTGAACTGCCCAGTCATAGAGTGCTAGGTGCCAGATTGGTCCATCTGCTGCTGTGCAAGTGTCTGATGACTTTTTACTAGGAAATCCTTTTACTGGAATTACTTTAGGCGATGGTGACTTTATTCTTTTCCCTGAATGAGTCAGTTAAGAGGAGATCCAGGAAAAATATCTAAGGCAAGCATCTCCCATGTTGTTTTTTTTTTTCTGAGTTGGGTGTTTTTTGGGTAGGGGATTCTAATACTTTTTTGCAACTCATTGCAGAGTTAGCAGAATGACCCATTAGTGTCTGTGAGTTTTCCAGTCTGTCTCCAAGCACCCCAGCATTTATTTGGTCATGTATTTTTAGAGAGCTAAAGTGGGTGTTTTTAAATGCAAGGGTTTTTATAAAGTTTCGAGGCAATTGTTTCCAACCATAAGTTCATGACCTACCCATAATAATAACTAACATTTACATAACAGCAGCACTTCACAGTACCCCTGCAAGGAGACAGGTTATGTAGATGTACCCATTTTATAGAGGGGGAAACTGAGACCCAAAGACTTGTTCAAGTCACGCTGCTAGCATCAGAGCCAGGCTTCCCAACTCCATCTTGTTGATGTCCTCCCTTGTAAACTTACAAGCTGATTGCTATGGTTACATCACTCTTCCCATTCTTCCTCTACCACCAGGGCTGAACAGGTCTCTTGAGGAAGGCCCCCACTATGCTGGGTAGAACCACAGTGGAAAAACTTAGGAGGAGGAAAAGAACAAGAGTCCCATAGGATGGGCAGACATGGATGGGCTGTGATCTGCATTGTTAGAGGGAACATCCACATTGAGGAGTTAACCGATTGTAGGAGCATGAGATCATAGCTTTTTAATTAGAAGATAGTGCTGAGGCCTTTTATAGAAGAGCTGAGGATCAGAGAGATTAAGTGTAAAGCCAAACTTCACACAGCTAATAAGAGTTTGAATCAAGATTTGAACCCAGGTCTTCTTGACCTGAGTACAACACTTTATTGACAACATCATTGTGCCTCTCAATATCCACTGAACTATGGATAATTTTTTTCTTCATAAGTACTTGTAAGTGATTATAATTTTTCTAAAAGCATTGCCTCAATAAATTAGAATCTACCATTTTTCTTTCTGGGTACTAAAGAGGAGCTTAGAATTCACCTCTCATGGGTGAGTTATTTACTCTAGAGAGGACTTTCTGTACTACTCAATAATCTCATCAGCTCCCATGGATTTAATTACCATCTTAAACTGATGATTCTCAAATCTACCTGTCCTATCTTAACCTTTCTGCTGCCCTCCAATCTGCCGTCTCTAACTGCCTTTCAGATATCCCAAATGAGGTGTCCAGTAGACATCTTAAACTCAACATGTCCAAAACAGAACTCATTATCTTCCTCCCTTCCTCCCTCCCCACCCCTTTCCTATTAGTGTAGAGGGCAACACCATCCTGCCAGGTCTTCAGGTTTATAAACTGGGTGTCATGCTGTGACATTTAACAAGGTTCAAGAGATATGCTTTCTGGGGAATTTAATAATTTCATTAATAAGGCCAGCAGGTTATTAATAAAAGGATGTTCACAATAAAAGGACCAAAGACCCTTAATGATGGTGGGGTCACAGTTTATATGCCCTTTGAAAAGGAGGTTTTCCTAAGGGGTGGCAATAAACAAGGATTAATTAACATAATAACAGGTGTGGGCTTTATTAAAATGAAAGTCTTGGGCTATGCGATTTAAGTCACTCAAATCTTGGTCAAAAAGACATCAATTTCCATATCACCTGTCTTGATAATAGGCAGCATCTTTCCTGGATCTCTCTGAGCAAACATAATGAGCAGGCATACACCCATTAGCCTAAACTTAGAATTTCTTTTACTGTTTGAATTAGATCTTGGCCTGGGTAAATCTTTAAAAGAAATTTCCCACACTGGTTGATTTCTGGATGAGGAAGTAGAAAGGGGAAAAAACCTTCTAATACAATAATTAGTTATTAAATATAAGAGAAATTTTCACTTCTCAGAATCCTCAACTCCTATCTCCCTGCCTCCCTCACCAATAGCCAATCTGTTGGCAAGGTCTATCAATTTCACCCTTTCAACATCTCTCCAATAAGCCCCCTTCTCTTCTCTGACACTGCCACCACTCTAGAGTATTCCTTCATCACCTCACACAGCACAGTTCCAAATCGTGTCACTTTCCCCCCTTTCTCCACTCAATAACCTCCAGTGGCTTCCTATCACCTCCAGAATCAAATACAAAATGCTCTGTTTGGCATTCGAAGCCCTTTATAACTTAACCCCCTCCCACTTTTCCAGTCTTCTTCTATCTTGCTCTCTGACATGTACTCTTTGATTCGGTGACGCTGTCCTCCTGACTGTTCCATGAACAAGACCCTCCATCTCCTAGCTCCTGGCATTATGAGTGGCTGGCCCCCAAGCCTGGAACACTCTACCTCCTCTTCTCCACCTGCTGACCTCCCTGGCTTCCTTTAAGTCCCAAGTAAAATCCCGTCTTCTACAGGAAGCCTCCCCAGCCCCACTCAATTCTAGTGCCTTTCCTTTTTAAATTATTTCTTACTTATCCTGCACATAGCTTGTTTGTACGTATTTGTTTGCTTGCTTTTTTCCCTGTTAGACTGTAATCTCCTGAAGTTTAGACGCTTGAGGTCTTTTTCTTCCTTTTGTGTGCCCAATGCTTAGCACATAGTAAGCACTTCATGAATGTTTATTGATTGATTAGTTTTTTTACTTTAAATTCTCATCATAATCATTTGTCAGTGTGTCTGAATTGCAAACATCATCTCTGCAGCAGCTATTGAAGTTTCAGCATTTACCCTTCCTTGCTCAACAACCATGGGCTTCACCACATTTTCTTACATCTTAGCTGTGAGAAAATCATAACACTCTACAAGTCTGAAATGTGTACCTTCTCTGCCCACCACTCCACCACGCTGAAAGTGATCCTCCTTCCTTGGGCTTTCCTAAAGTGTCTTGATTTCCTCTCCTGGACTATAAACTCCTAGAGGGCAGAGATTGTATCATATTTCACCTTTTCCCCCTCAGTGTCTCTTAAATACTTAATAAATATTTGCTCAATTAAATTGAAATACAATGCTTATTATCTTATTCTCAAAGGATTTTTTGAAATCACAGTTTATCATGTCCCCAATAAATAAAAACCACTCTTGGAAATGAAAGATGGTTACTTTTCAATTTGGACTACTCTTTGCCCCCTGAACACTGTTTATCTCCCTGCTGGATATCCCCACCCAAATGTCTCATCATTCGGTTAGATAGTGCAATGGATAGAGAGCTGGGCCTGGAGTCAAGGAAGACCTGAATTCAAATCTGGCCTCAAACTCTTACTAACTTTTTGACCCTGGGCAAATCATTATATCTGCTTGCCTCAGTTTCTTCAACTGTAAAATTAGGATAATATCAGCATCTACTTCATAGGGTTATTGTGGGAATCAAATTAGATAATATTTGTAAAGCACTTAGCCTGGCATATAGCAGGTACTATATAAATGCTTATTCCCTTTCCTTCCCTTTTCTTCCCTTTCCTTCCCTTTTCTTCCCTTTCCTTCACTTTCCTTCCCTTTCCTTCCCTTTCCTTCCCCCCTTTATCAGAATCTCTAACTTAACATATCCAAAACAGAACTTACTATATTTTCCCAAAAACTTCATCCCTCCTCCAAACTTTGCTAATCACCATCTTTCTAAGCACTTAGGTCCAAAGTTCTATAGTGATACTCACAGACATTCTCTCTTCCTCACATCCATCTCCAATCCAATCCAATAACCGTGCCTCCATATTATCATTCATAGTTGTTCTCTTCTGTCTACTCAACAGAATCACCACTTTAGTTCAGGCCCTACTTACCTCTTGCCTGGACTATAACAATAGCCACCTAGCATCCCTGCAAAGTGCTATTTTCCTCTGAAAATAGCTTATTGATTATTAGAAAAGAGGAATGATACTATCCTTAACTTTGAGAGAAAGGTCCTAACATTGACCATAGACTATTGAATGTTGCCTTTCCATGTTGACATTTTTTTACATTGATGTAGTAGTTTTATATAAAATTTCTTTTTTTGGGGGGGGTGTCTCTGCTTGCTTTACTATTTGCTTTTTCTTTTAGGCCTTCTCTTGTTTCTCTAAATTGTTCATGTGTCCTTACTTACAGCACAGTAATATTCTATTACATTCTTCCATCCTACTGTGATTTGATTTTCCATTTGTTCTAGAGCCATCATCTACTTAACTGTCTGGCAATCCACTCTCTCTGCTTTCCATCTGAACCTTTTCAGTTGTCCAAATTGCTAGATGTTGTTTAAGCTCCATTCCAACTGAGCCAGAATTCTGTCCTCACACTATGTCCCCTCATCTTCCTTTCAGGGCCCTCGTGTTTATCTCTCATGGTGCTGGTGAACATTGTGGCCGCTATGATGACTTGGCCCAGATGCTGACTGAACTTGACCTGTTGGTGTTTGCTCATGACCACGGTGAGTACTACGGAAGAATCACTGGGAGGGGGTGGTGACTCACAGTCTGTACTACTTGGAATCTTACAATGTTTGGATTTTCCTTTCCAATGTCATTTCACCTCTTCTGTCTTCCATTCTTGACTTTTTTCCCTTTTCTGTTTCCTGTTGGAAAACAAGAGAAGGACATTCTTAGTGTGAAGTTTCCAAAAAATTTTTTAAGGAAAATCTCACTGTCTGCTTACTGTGGAGCAGATTCACAAGTGAACCCACAAAGCCAGGCTCAGGCATTGAGTCAGAGGGCCATGTGAGACCCATCTGCTAGCTTCAGCACAAGCCAAATAATAATCCCTGCTTATGTAATGGGCTTTTGTAGCTTTCAAAATACTTCCATATACACAATAAACCTTGACTTTCTGTTTCTTGAAATTTCAAATTAATATGGTGATAAGTTCATGAACAAATCAAGGACATAGCTGAGTTTAAAACATCAGAGATTCAGGAAACATCTCGTGCTGATAATGCCATGCCGGCCAAGGCCGCATCACTCCCAAAGTGGGAGAAAGCACCGTTCCTATTAATCACAGTTAAGTGGAATATGCTGCTGTCTCATTTCATGTCCTACACACAATCACAAAATTTGGGAACTGGAAAATATCTCCGTGACCATCTGGTCCAACCTATGTCAGTAAAGAATCCCCACTCTGACCTATCTAACAAGTGTGGCCTGGCCTCTGTTTGAAGACCTCCAAGGAGGAGAAGCCCACTGCTTCCCAAGTCAGCCCATTCTACTTTGCCTTGGTTTGAATTGTTAAGGAGTTTTGGTTTTGTCTAGATGTCACGTCTAACTTTGCTTCTTTGTAACTTCTATCCATTGCAAACATACATGAAGGAACTGTGCTTGAATGGCTCTGTGATCAGGTTCATAGCCTAAGAATCACCCTTGACTCTACTCATCGTCCCTCATCCCCATTCCTACCCCCATGCCGCAGTGGCCACATCACTGGGAAGTCTTATCAATTCTGCCTCTGTCCCACCTCTTCCTTTATGGCTCGTTGGCCACCACCCTACTTTGGGCAGCCATTATTACTTGTCTGGAATATTGCAAAAGCTGCCTGATTTGTCTCTTTGCCCCCAGACTTTTCCCTCCCCAGTGTGTCTTCAATACAGCTACCAAAATGCTATTCCTAAAGCACAGGTCTGATTGCATCTCTCCCCTGCTCAAGGAGCTCTGGCGATAAACTATAGACTCTAGCTCCTTGAAGATAGAGATTTGGGAACAGGGCCTAAAACACAGCAGGTACATGATGAATGCTTATTGATTGGCTGATTGATTGATCTCACCCATATGGGTACTCCTTCATCCTGCATGATTCTTATCCTGATTCTTGCTTAAGCTTCTATAAAAAAGCAATCTATTCAACGTGTCTACTAGGTGCCACACACTGTACTAGGCAATGTGAATACAAGAGGGGGAAAAGGAAACAGTCCCTGCCCTCCAGGAGCTTGCATTCTATAATGGGGAATGACATGGAGTACAGACATGTAAGTGACAAGTCTATACAAATAAATGCTAAGTAATTTTCCAGGCTGGTGGAGGGGAAGCACGCAGGTTCCCTGCAAATGCTGAGGGCCTTCCTGCAGGCTCTTTAACATTCCGTGGGGGCCAGTCCAGCACTTAAGGCTGTCCATCTGTTATCCCTCACTGGCTCCATAGCTAGTGAGTGTTTCAAGGCATATAAAACACAAAACAAGACACACACAAACCCTGACTCAATTCATTTAGAATGGATGGAAGCTTTGTCTTAAAACACTTTCTCATGTCGTACGAGGAGATTTGGCAATGTAGCCTGTGAAGCCTATATCTGGGGTCCTTAATGGTTTTCCCAAGAGTCAGTGGTGCCCACCTCCTTTGCCCAGGAGATATGCCCAGTGGCTGCTTTCGGTTGATATGCTGGGATTGGCAGTGGAACGTCAATCTTGCTTCAACACAGGTCTCTCTCATCCAGAGAAAGGAGGCTTGTGTTGATCTTATTTTAAAATGGAGAACTAAGTGGTAATGTGCAGAGGAGCTTCCAGGGGACTGGAGATAAGGGATTTTATGACTGTAAATAGGAGAGCAAAAGGTGCATTAGAGGGAGACAGATGCTGATCTTGGCAAATAAGAAGCTTGCCCAGGAAAGGAGGAACCACATAAAGGATTAGGAATTGGGTTGTTTCTGCTAAGAGATCTTTTAGTCCAGATACCAGCAAATTTTCTTGTAATAGAGAATACAATATTGACTAAATTCACGTTATCTTTAATGCATAAACCAGGGCTACTTGTAAAATATTTCACTGATGTACCTCAGTTTGGGTCAAGATGTAATGTAATGTTGGGGGAAGTAGTTATCTAGCATTAAATACAAGGACTGTATTCTTATTAAAATGGGCACTGATCAATGTGTGTAAAGGTCTTTCTAGCACTGTTCAGTCCAATTCAGTTCAATTCCATTCAATAAGAATGTATTATGTATCTACTACGTGTAAGGGGCAGCTAGGTGGCACGGTGGATAGAGTGCCACACCTGGAGAATGGAAGACTCATCTTCCCGAGTTCAAATCTGGCCTCAGACTCTTAATGGTTGTGTGACCCTGGGCAAGTCACTTAACCCTGTTTGCCTCAGTTTCCTCATCTATAAAATGAGCTGGAGAAGGAAATGACAAACCACACTGGTATCTTTGCTAAGAAAACCTCAAACGGGGTCACGAAGTGTTGGACACGACTGAAAAATGACTGAACAAGGACAAACTATGTGCAAGGTACCATGCTAGGTGTTGAGGATACAGTGACAGAATAATCAAGAACAGTCCTTGTGGAAAGTCTACACCTGCCCTAGTGGAGTTTATTTGTGGAAGTGCTTAGCATTATGATCTCAACTAAAAGGGAGAGGGGGAAGGGGAAGCCCTGAAACTAATAATAATAATAATAACAACCCACACTCGAGGTGGTGTAGGTGACAGAGTGCTCAAACTGGAGTCGAGGTAGATTTGAGTTCAAATTCCACCTCTGTGTGGAATTTTTACTGTGCGACCTGGGCAAGTCATCAAATTTCTTTCAACCTTAGTTTCTGCTGAGACTGGGGATGGGGATGATAATAATATCTACCTGATAGGGTTGTTATCAGAATTAAAATGGGATAATACATGTAAAGTGCTTCACAAACCTTCAAGCACTATATAAATGCTAGCTATCATTGTTACCTCCATGTTATAAATGGAGAAAGTGTAGAGCTAAGTAACTTGCCCATGATCACACAACCAATAAGTATCTAAGATAGAATTTGAACCTATGTCTCCTGACTCCAAGTTCAGTACTCTATATATTCTACCTCTCATTGATGCCATAAAAAGCCTAAGCATAGAATTTCAGATACCTCACAAAAAAAAAATCATCTGTCATTTCATCATTGTGACTATTGTCGCTGCTAGCAAAGAAGTCAGCTTTCTGGTCCTTCTAACGATGGCCTTGATGAGGCAGAGAATATTCGTCACCCGGAGGCTGCCCGTTGGTAACACGCCCTGCTCAACTTGGCTTGGCTGTTCCTCTGATGACGGATACCAGTTTTTCACCAGGCCGGTCCCAAAAGCCTTTCCGTCTTGGCTAGAAGCGCTGGCTCTGGCAGAGCTTACGCTCCACTAGCATAAGTAAGCGTTTGAGAATCTGAGATCACCTTCACAACGCACCAGATACTGGGGGTACAAGGTTAGGGGAGAAATTCAGCTAAATCTCAAGTCAAGCTCCCTTTGATACATTGTAGCATGCACTCTATGCAGCCTTAGCCAACTTCATAATAATCTAATGAACTTGGCTCTGTGGTGCCCTCACCTTCCTACTAAAGGCCTCGGGATCCTCATCTGTCAAATGAGGGGGCAGAGGGCTGAGCTCTCCAGGACAAACTGTTAGGAAAGTGCTGCATTTGTCAGTAGACCTCTGAAACCACAAGAGCTGGGCTCTTTACAGGAGAGAGAAAAAAACAAAACAAAACACCACCTTTTGAAGTTTCCAAAATAATTTCCAAAGTGGAGACACGGCTTCTGTGGCATTCTAAATATAGTTCCCCTCTTTGCTTGTTCAAGCCCTTGGTTTACCGAGTTGCTTACAGTGATTCATTGGAACTCCCCTTGCCAACACTATGAGGATGGGATTTAATTCAAGAAATGAACAAGGGAAGATTTAAACCATTTTTTTTGGTCTCATTTCGTGTGTAGCCTTTTGTTGTGAATAGAAGAGGGATAGTTGTTGCTTGCCTAGTGGGCAGGAGCTGGGGAGAAGAGCATTTCAGTGGGTCTTCTGAATGCCTTTGAGCTAGAAAATGTGACCATTAGAGGTCAGTGAACTTTGGTTTCCTTTTTTTTTTTTTGCCAAGAAATCTCAGTTATTTGAGGATCCATTGTTCTGTGATCACCACAGTGCCAAACTTTTTATTTGCCACCAATGGAGTTGCATGGCCAGAGTTGTTGGGCAGAAATTCTTGCCCTTTTGTAGAGTCTGACACATCTTGTTAGGGTTTTTCCTGATTTTGTGACACATAATAGCTATTTAAAAAGAAAAGCAAGATGTATAAAAAGGCTATGATATATTGGGTGTGGTGGTGTCATCTGGCTTTGGGTCCGGAATATCTGGATTCTGACACACATACCAGGCATGGGCCAATGTCTTAGCTTTTCAGAGCCCACTCTCAAAGACCTTTAGTACCAGAGGAGTTACTAGTCTACTTCAGAAGAAGAATCCAAAGTAGGAGTTCTCTAAACCAAGGAATTCCTAGGTCCATAGCCTTCTGCTCTGTTTAACTCCCTTTCCCTACTCTGCTATATGGCCAGTGTTTAAAGTGAAATAATAATTAATCTGGATTTGAGAATCATAGGCATTGCTTAAAATGATTGGAAACTCCCTGAGGGTTGTAAAACCTGAGATAAAAATCACTGAATGTCTTGTCTAGAGGCACTCCAGCCAGCACCAGGTTCTGAAAAACCTTCGGT